AAGTATTTAGTAGCCACAGTGACTAGTGGCTGGCTACCTAGCATTTTGGATAGAGCAAATATAGAACATTTTCATCATTGCAGAAAATTCTTTTGAATGGATGTAAATAATAAACGGATGAAAATAATCACACGCAAAGTTACATTTGCAGATATTGATCCAGGTAACATTAATGTTATGTATAAAAAAGTAAATTCAGAAACACTCAAAAAATTAGTTCTAAAACCAGTTCAAAGCAATTAGTTAATATGGCCCCAAGAATAATTTGCTAGGAGGCAGTAGAGGGATAGTGAAAAGAGCACTGGACTAGGAGTCAGAAACCTGACTGGTAGCCTTAAATATCCCTTCTTAATTAGCTGGGAGACCTTCTGTAAATCACTTAGACCCACTCAGCCTTGAAACATGTCATTTATAACACTTGAAACACATTAGGCATTATTCTAAACTATTATTTTATTTTCTCTGAGGTTCTTCCTAACTTAAAATGTTTCCTTTTAATTAGGTCTATGGGTAAAGTACAACTTTTTAAGTAAAAGCAACCTTTTTATTATATATATTTAAAGGTGTACAGCATGATGTTAATAACCTTTCTTAATTCCTTCTCCTAAGTCTATCTAAACTCACATATTCTGCCCTCTGAGAATTAAATTCACTTATTTCCCCAATATTTCCCCCAATGCCACTCTTCTGTGCAGGAAAGAGGCATACCGCCCCTCTTATTGTGATAGGGGGCTGCCAACACTTGCACCCCAGCCACTTGGCATCACCTTCTAGGAGCAAAACTTTTCTCTGCCTTCAGAGACAACTGGTAAAGATGAATTGTACTCTACAAAATTGGGAACATGCAAAAAAAGTGTAAGTTGGGACAGAAATATTTCTTTTCATATAGCTAAACCCTTTCAATCAATGGAACAAAGGACTTCATTAGATCTCATTCTTGCTACTAAAAGAACGTTTTTTAAGAAAGTCTCTTTCTGCTGTCTGCTAGATCACAGTCTATCCTATTCAGCTCATCTTCGTTACTGATCTTCAGATATCCAACGGGTGTGTTTTATGTTTTGGATCATAGAGGTTTCCCTTTCTGGGACAGCTGCCGTGGGTGGGTGTCCAGCAGATGAGATGGTGGCCCTGGGTGGCATTGTCTCACTCTTGGTCCAGTTAGGCAGCCAGCCTTCTTGGGAAAGGTGGAGCTGGCCTCCTCCTGATGATGATCAACTCTCAGTTGTTTATAATTTTCTCAAAAAATAAATACTCTGAGGCTACAATTTCTCATGCTTGGTCTCAACCCCAGAAGTGTGTTTTGTTGTTGTTGTTTTTGGAAAGTTTCAAAAACATCTGTTTGGAGGAGAGTTTTCCAGTGGGGAACATGTATGTCAGCAGTTAAACTTCTCAGACACATTTTCTTTTCTTTTTCACATCCAAATAATCTTTAAAATGGCAAGTACCTAGGCCCCAGTGAAGAATTCATGGCAGGAATTCATTTTCCTTTCTCTGCACTTTCGATATATGTATTTTTTTATTTCTCCTCTTTTTCTGAGAAAACACATAAGAAAATGAGAAGGATCTAGACATACTTTGCAGTGCCAAGAAAATAGCAGGCATTACTATTGCCTTCACCCAACTTTGAAATTGTACCCTATTCATTTCACAGTGGGAGAAAGTTACAAAGTTACACTGCAATTAGTGCAATTAGGTTCTCCAACTTAAGCCTTACTTGCCCCCTTTTCAACATTAAAACAAAGTTCTCAGAGACCAAAATCTTTGGAATTGTCATCTTTCTAGACCAATCTCACTAGGTAACTTGGTCTAGGAAATAACTCAGTTTCCCCAGCTGCTAAATAAGATGCATCATAACTTCATGACCCCCCCCCCCCCACACACACACACAGTTCTGCTTTTACACGAATAAAACCCCTCGTGTCCTGCTTTGGGGTCATTAAAATGGTACTTGCGTACAATTCTGTTGCGGAGATTAATGAGTTAACTTCTTTCTCCCTTCCTCTTTGGATACCTGCTTCCTCTCCCCCACCACTTCCCCACCCTGTTACTCACCAACTTCATTCTTTTGTCCTTGTTGCTTTTAAAAGCGGGATGGTGGCTGGCAGCAATGGAGGGATCTGTTTCCATTTTGAACCTTATAAATTACCGAGGGTGCAAGAGTAACAGGGATTGTCTGGTTGGTTCTCGTTAAGCAGGAGGGGGTCTGGGCTGAATTTCCTCAGTAAAACCTTTGTCGATTTTACAACCCAAACACCTCTGTAGCCACCCCGTACTCAGATAGGAAACATCCATCCAGTTGCTCTTTGTCTGCTTGTCCTCTTTTTGCCCGTTATTACTTTGTATTCATTTTGTCTCTCTCTCTCCCGTCTTCCCTTCTTCTCCCTCCCTTCGCTCCTTCCCTCCTTCTCACTTTCCCTCCTTTCTTTCTCCCCTCCTTCCTTCCTTCCTTCCACGGGACAGGGAAGTAACAGGTGTTATCAATCTCCTTAAGGAGCTGGGGAGACTGGTGCCTGTTGCAGACAAGCTAGTTCCCCTAAAGTTCCATAACTGAGAACTCATGCAGTGTTCTGTATAAATACATTATCTCATTTGGGAGAAGTAAATTAGAGAATTAAAACAAATATCTGGAAAATTGAGAGGACACCAAAAGCTTCCTTTTTGGTGTCAACTCCTCCTCTAGAAATCACTGTTAAAATTCCCCAATGTTACATCACCCTTATTCTAACTGTGTTTATTAAACACCTGCTGGGTACAGAGCCCTGGTAGGATAAAAAAAAAGAAAAAAAAGGAAAAGGCCACTATTGTGGTTAAAAGCACAGAGCTTTGGAATCAGCTCAACCTAAGTTTCAAGCCAGGCCTACAGTTATGAACCCTTGGGCAAATCACTTAACCTCTGGAACTCAGTTTACCCACATGTACAATGGGCATAGTAGACCCCACCTTACAGGGTTGATGTGAAGATTAAAGGCAATAGCTGGTGCAGAGAACTTGGCAGGCACCCTCACCTTTCCTGCCACTGCTGCCCTTCCCAGTGGACTCACATTCTTTGCAGCTTTCATGAATTTCATTTTGCTGATAACATGGCCCTTTGATGTACTGGACTGCCTGAAAAAGAGCAAAAGCTCTCTCTACACCAACAGAATATTATTTCAACTTACCAAAAAAGAACCTTTAGAAAAACCTTTTTAAAGTTTTTCTTTTAAACCCCTTTCAGGAAACATCCCCTTGTCTTTTTCCAAAGCAGTCAAGGAGTCTTATAGGTTCTTTGATGTCAAAGTCAAGAGACAAAGGGAGGGAATAAAAATCAAGGGGAAAGAACTCTTTCTTGGAGAACATTCTGAGCATCCACGTAGGGGCTGGGGTCCTAGATATTGTTTAGGGGATGCTCATGGGGCAGAGCTGATGTGACCCTCTTCACTCTAGCAGCAGCTAGAGAGAAAGTCAGAGGGCCAAAATGGGAAGGGAAAGGTTTAGGCAGATACCAAGTGCTTCCTAGCACAGAATTCCCTTTGTCAGGAGTGTTGAGGGTTGCAAGGCTCAGGACCATCTCACAACATACTGTGCAGTCAGCCAGAATTACAGAGATAGGTGAGCACAGCACCTCTCTCAGTTGGAAAGCTAAGCTAATTCTCTTGATTTTTCAGTGGCAACTATACGTCTTTGAAAGAGTCTCTGGTTAGATATATTGGTCTGCAAAAATTAACATTTTGAATGTATGCCACGCTCCTAAAGATATACTCTTAATATTGTCACATGTGCATGATTGAGGAGATTCACCTGCTGTCCAGATCATGGGAATGATATCTGAACTCATTCTAATGCCTCCCTGTCTAATCAGGGTGTTGATATACCTTCCTCATTTGCTAATGTTCTATGAATCCTCCAGTGAAAAGCATAGAAGCAAAATCTTGGTTTTGGCTGCAATAGAAGTGTGTGTGCATGTGTATGTGTACATGCATGCATATGTGTGTGTGTGTTAGAATATACACTTGACTGTGTGATTTTGATGAATCTTTTCAGGACTGTTGTTTAAGGGTGGTATAAAGGAATAATGCCATGGAAGGGGAGATGTTAAAGTTCTAGGGGGTGTTAAGAGTGTGGTTGGCAGCTGAGATGTACCATCAGGTGGCTGGAGGTACAGTGCCATTGAAAGCCCCAAGAGAGTGTTGTTCCAACTGGAGATGCAACCCGGGCAGTTGTCAAGAGCACAGGTTTTGTAGTGACAGAAACCCCCAGAATTCCAGTAGCAGGGACAGAGAGAAGTAGAAGCCAGCAAGTGAAGCTGAAATAAGGCTGTGCATCCTGAGAAGGTGAGGGGCCTTGGCTTGACTTCTGACTTTTGTCTGTTTTTGTGCTGGAGAACTAGAGGTTCAGACAAGCCGAGGAGAGCAGATTGATTCCAGGAACAAAAGAGAGTTCACAGGGATATAGGCATAGAGGAGAATCAAAGCAGCAGACTTCCCATGAGTCACTGAGACTTCAGGATTCGTTAAGTAGTAACATCCCCTAAAAGGATGATTTGGTGTGCATTATACATATGACATTGTCGTCCCACAACAGCCTGCACTAGCGACATGGAATGCCACATGGCTGTGGTCATCTGGCCTCCAGACAGCAAATGGTAAAACTAATTTCATCTGTTCCAGCATCTGTGCTAGGTATGCACAGCCCCATGCCCTGGCTGTGGCTGGAGGTCTCAGCCTCTCTGTGTCCTCTGCTCTCCTGTCCTTGTTGCTGTCAGTCCACTGGGCAAGGCTCTAGCATTCCTACCATGGTAAAGTCGCCTTCCAGCTCAAGAGAAAGAGCTCAAGGGGGTGACTTATAAGAAGCTCCTTTTAGGTGGGAAGTGGCATGAGAGCATTCTTTGGTCGTCCCACAGCGTGACCAAGTCTCCACTGTGGCTGTTGCTAGCAGGTGGGATGGAAGCTGAGGCGAGGGACTGGGCCCCCCAGGCATCTTCCCCATGGCCATCTCTGTCTTTCTCTCTCACAGCAGAGTGTCCCAGGGGACTGCAGTGTCTCTTTGAGTGACCCCGGAGGCTTATGGGACATCGGCTTCGGACCCTCTGTGACACACCGTGCTGCACGGGATGATGCTGTCGTGGAGGCCTGAGGTCACACTCGCGTGCCTCCTCTTAGCCATGGCGGGCTGCCTTGCAGACCTGAGTGAGTGCTTTCCTTCCCTTCTCAGCCAGCCCCTCTGGACGAACACTGTGCCCCTAATGTCAAATGGAGACATGAAGTGTTCTACAGTAACTCTAACAAGGCCTTCTTCTTCCTGGATTTCAAAGAACACTTCATTGCCACTGGCCATCAGGGACACACTCAAGAATACAAGATGAGAAGTGATGACGACAATATCCTATTGGTTAAATTTTGGTATTTTACTCATTTCAGATACATACCAGAGGAGGAGTGATAATAATGGCAACTGCCTTCCACTGTGCACTTCTCATGTGAGGTCATGGTGGGCGATTTACACAAATTTTTGTAAGCCTCACGATGGCCTTGTGAGGCAGGGGTCATTAGCCTCATTCTACACATAAGAAACTGAGACTCAAAAAGGCTGGAGTCACATGGCTCAGAAGTAGCACTTGGGGGCCGGCCGGGTGGCGCACTGCTACAGTGCGCCGCTTGGGAGCACGGAGGCGCTCCCGCCAAGGGTTTGGATCCCACATACAGACTGGTTCCCGCTCACTGGCTGAGCGAGGTGCGGGCGCAGTGCCGAGGGTTGCGATCCCGTTGCTGGTCCTGGTCCGGTACGGGCGCGACACTGAGGGTTGCGATCCGTTGCTGGACACGAAAAAACGACAAAAAAAAAAAGAAGTAGCACTTGGATTCAGACTCAGGTCTGACCAACTCCTGAGCCTGAGTTCTTCTCTCTACTACACAGTGCCACTCCCAGTGTGTTTTCTGGGAACTAAAACAGGTCAGGGAATGGATAAGGGCAGTCGAGTTACTCAGAGAAAGGTCACACTCAGGGTGCTCAACTCTGCAAGACTGCCTGGGCGCTGTGCTTCTGAAAAAGTGATGTTGGTTTCTTGAGGGCATTAGTTCATTGCTGCGTCTCTGTTTTTCCTCCAGACGAGGTCCCGCAGGTCACTGTCCAGCCCGCATCCACCGTCCAGAAGCTCGGAGGAGCTGTGATCCTGGGCTGTGTGGCAGAACCCCCATGGGTGAACGTAACCTGGCGCCTGAATGGCAAGGAGCTGAATGGCTCAGACGATGTTCTGGGCATCCTCATCACCCGCGGGACCCTCGTCATCCCTGCCCTCAGCAACCACACCGTGGGACGGTACCAGTGTGTGGCCAGGATGCCTGCAGGGGCTGTGGCCAGCGTGCCAGCCACTGTGACACTAGCCAGTGAGTCTGCTCCTTGCCTGTCTGTTATGGGGCAGTCCCTCCTCCTCTCTTCCATTTTCTCCTTTCCCACCCCCTTCCCACCATTGATAAACCCCTGTCATTAGTTGAATCATAAAAGGGATCTTAACCCCAGGAATCCCCAGTGGTGGGAAGGGCCTTGTGCCCTTTGGTAGCTTCAATGTGAGTAGGGTCTGTGTCTGAAGAGAGGGGAGCTGGTTAGAGGCTTGACATGGTTGAACTGTTTCATGGGCCTCCGAGCGGGGCCATGCTGTGCCTTTCTACCTGGTTACCCTGTGGTTTTAGGGGTGGTGTGCCAACTGCTTACACACCCCCCTCCATCACCTCGCTCCATTCTCACAGCAGTTATAGTCAGAGCACAGACCAGGGCCATGTGTAGTCTGAACAGAGCCTGCCCATCCCAGACTTGGCCTCCTGTCTCTCTGTGAGGGGCAAGAATATTCCAAATGCCTGGAATATAAAGAGTTCAACATAATGAAAAGGAAACTGTGTGACAAAGGGATAAAAAGAGGAGAAACAAGGAAGAACTGAGGTCACAGTTTGGTCCAAGGAAGGAATTCTAGAAGACGACTTTATAATACTACCCTTTTCTTTTGAGTTTTGCCAGTTTTTTCTGGATGTTGTTGCCTCAATGAAAGACAGTCTATTAAAATCATTATGTCTGTAGACATTCTATTTGTGATATAGACTCAGTGTTACCTCTGATCCCTTTTTTCTCTGATTATGAAGAACACAGGTCCTTGGGCCAATATATGGAAGCCAAAAGCCAAATGGCTTCCAAGTTCCCTCCCAACTGAATAATTCTGGTAAATTCCATTTCCGTGCACTTCCTGCCAGATGGTCCTTGTGACTGCTCTTCTTTCTTTTATGCTTGTGAAAATGAGGCATAGGTTTTAAGAAATTACTTAAATATGTGTTAGAAGGATCCAGCAGAGCAAAGGAAGGATCCAGGGCCTGTGACCCAGCACAGTCACAGCTAGAGGAGGCGCGTTACCCAGGACAGGATCTAGTAGTTCCTATATTCTACCCTCCTGAGTCCCATCATATTAATGGGAGTGGGTAATCTGACACACGACTTTATGTGTGATCACCACTTGGGTGAACTGCGTCCCAGCTACAATACATATATAATCTGATATTCTACCCATCATACACACAGGACATGAGACTTGGCTGATTAAATACACTGCTGAAGGATGCAGAGCAGCCCAAAACCCATTCTTATATACTGAGTCTATAGCCAGGAAATAACAGAGAATTGCCTCCAACTGGGCCCCTTTCCTGGAGTCTGACGTGTAGTTAATAGGGAAACTTGCTGAGAGACATTCATGATATTTGGATTTAAACTTTGAGAAGATTTCCAGCGCTTGTTTCCTTGTGACTTAGCAGTACCCTGGGATCCCTGACAGCCCTGTTTGGGGCTTCCACGTTGCCATCATCATCACCCTTGTGGATGTTGTGGTTCCAGGAAGGTGGAAATGCTATGTCATGGGTCATACCAAAGGTAGCAAACTCCTGAAATGCCCTCAATCCCAGTCAGCCCAAGTCCTGGAGTGTGTGAGGTGTGAGTACAAGGAGACTAGTGCAAGATGGGCAATCAGAAAAGCCCCTGCCTGTCCTCTGTTCCCAGATCCCTGGAGGGGCTTCGCTTGGTGGGAGTGTGGAATGAAGCTGCCGGCAGCTTCCTGCTTTCTTGGGAAACAGTCCTAGCAGCCCTGCATTTTCTCAGGAGCAAAGGCAGAGTGTGTCTGTAGCTGTCTCCCCGAAGGGCCAGGCTGACCCTGGGCTGGATCTTGGAGCCCCCCACACAGTGGAGACCACTCTCCTTGCGGCACAAGGAGCACCTGTTGAATGTGAGGGTGGGCCTCTGGGGAGCAGACTGAGGGCTGTGTGAGGGAGGCAGGCCCTGGGTGGCTGCTGGGCCCTCTCTTGCAGCTGTGCTTGGCGGGGGCCAGGCTGGAGGCTTGGGTGGGGAGAGGTCATCTCATCACATCAAAAAGGGCTGAGGTCAGAGCTCACTTCTTATGACTGTGCACTTCCTGCCTCCACTTGCCTATTTTAACATTATGATTATAATTGCAGTCTAGAAAGTTTAGAATATGTAGAAAACAGTGTCTCCCCTCAGCCTGCCATCTTTGTACCACCATCATCATTCTGGCATATATGCTTCCTGTCTTTATCGATACAGTTTCTATTCTTACTTTCTCCCCCTTGACATCGTATGATAAGCATTTTCCATAATTTACTTTTTCTTTTTAATTGAGTACAAAATGCACTAATCATAAGTGAACAATCCGATGCAGTTTTTCCTGTATGTGTACACCCATGTACCCATCACTCCAGCACATCCCCACAGGCCCCGCCCTAGTTAATCTGTCCTCCAAGCCCCCGTCAGAACATGATCATAATTACTGAGGACCCTAGAATGTCCCCCGAGTGGCTCTACCATCATGTACTGAACTTTTTTCTATTACCGGGCAATTAGGTCACTTACAGATGTTCATTATTACAAATAAGATTTGTCTTATAGCAACATTTGTGCCTAAAAAGGGTGACACTGCTCATATACGAGGGAGATTTCACCTCAAATGGTCAGCATGTGTCTGCAAAGACTCAAGATATTCCATAAGTATCCATTTGGCCTAATTAAGAGCTGGGCTGAACCTTTCATTGTTTGGAGAAGGGAGAGTTGGAGAGTCAAAGATTTATCTTGGAGCCCTTCTTCTGCTTCAAGGTGTATCTATGTGAGGAGAGACAATTTATAGCCTTCATTTTTAAAAAATTCCTGGCTGCTTCTTTCTCTGGTGTTTGCAGGGATCTGCAGTTGGCAGAGAGGACAAAGGGAAAGGTTTGGTTGCTACCCAAGAAGGCACAGTGGAGGGGCTTGTGCAGAAGCGAGTCTTGTTTGAAAGCCAAGAACTATTGGCTAGTCATTTAGACATGAATCAGAAGTGAAACGTTTGGGCCTGACTGGAAAGGAGAAGTGCTGGAAATCGAGAATGGGCTTGGGGGGCTGTGTCATGGAGGAGAGGGAGTCAGTGGAGTGGAACTGTAGACTCCTAAGCTTTGAGGAGACAGCGATGGGTGGCGGGAAGGCAGTGGGGGCGAGAAAAGGGTGCTGTCTTTGGGTTCATGCCATTGGGGGATTTGGCCCAGACTTAGCAGTTAGATTAAGTTTCTGAAAGTGCATTCCTGAGCAGAATGGGGGCTGTGTTTTGCTGGCTGGCTGATGGAGGAGGGAGGCTGAGCAGTAGATGGGATTAGGGAAAAGCATGGTCTACACTGAGGGGAAAGGCTGGGGCACACGCTTGCATACCCACACGCAACTGGCATTTAGGGCTTCCTTCCCCTCTGCCTATTCCACACACCTTCCTATGTCCATCCTCGTGCAAAGCAGCTGCTGTCTGGCCGACCTGGCAAGATGCTGCCTCCTGCGTCTAACTCCTAGAGGTCACTCGGAGCTTTCAGTGATGGGCCTGGGACCTGGCTTGAGGATTCAGGGGTGGGGAGGGGGCCTCTAGCACAAAAGCTTTCCTGGTCCAGGCCTATTTAACTCCAGTGTTGGGGATTGGGGGATCTGCTTGGACTTCACCCATGCCTGGTGATATCAGCTCTGGTTGTCAGGGAAGATGGGGCCACAAAGTCAAGAACCACCTGAAAAGTCTCCCCTGTGCACTCTCCCACCCTCCACCTTAGGGGGTCCCGGCTAGCCATGTGGTTAATTTGCTCTCTGTGCACGTGCCATCTCCCTCTCCTCTGTGGAGCACGTTCTCTCTCCTATTTAACCTAATCTTTATTTTTGGTTTCTGTCTCTTGCTGCTAATGCCTCACTTCAGGCCGCTTTGTCTGGGTCTTGCTTTTTGAAATGCTTTTGACTTTGCTCTCCTCCCATCCACTTCCCTTTCCCTTTCTTTTCACAAGCTTTACCCCAGGTGGCCAGCCACTCAAATGGTGGCTCACACGTGCCCACTCTGCTCCTGAACCAACAGCAGACACTGCCGATGGAATACCACCCTCCTTCCGGCTGGACCCGATTCTGCCTCAGAACCAGTCTCAATGCAGCAGAGCACAGGTAGCCACAGCCGGTTCCCAGAGCTGACAGGCAACGCAAGAGCTCTTCTTACCTCTGATGACCTACCGTTGAAATCAGCTCCTTTACTTCTAACTTTTTTCTATCTTTTTTATTCTTTAATTCTCCCAGTTCTCCCATCATCCCTAGGTCTGGGAATTTTAGTCTCAAGCTAATGTGAGGTCTTCAGTTGATGCTGGCATAGTTGAGAACAGATCTGTTGCCCCTCCATAAGGCCTGTGAGCACTAAGACCAGGTATACACTCCTGACTCATCCTCTCTGGCTTCAGAGATCAGCAGGTGAAGAGGCTGCCAGGAAAGGTCAGAAGGTGACCAGGGGTGCTTTGTAACCATTATTTAATTTAACCCATGAATAAAAGGAAGAGCCAAACTGGTAGATGGAAAAAACAAGAAACTAAAAAAAATTTTTTTTAATTCTGGGGTTAGGTCTTAGCTTCGCTACTTGAGTTATGTGATTGGACAAGTCACTTAATCTCTCAGATTGTGCCACTGTAAAATGAACACAATAATAGTTATATATCACCAGTCTCGTGGGTTTTTTGAGGATCATTTGAGAAAATGTGAAATTGTAGTGTCTTCAGGCATTTTAGGTATTCCAGGCTTCATTTGTTCACTTGCTTGTTCAGCAAACATTGTGGAGCATCTCCTTGCAGGAGGCTCTGGGGCCTGTGTCCAGTCCTGTGCTGCTCAACTTCATTCAAGGAGCAGCCTTTAGGAAGTCACAAGCCAGAGGGTGCAAAGCTCTCAGTCAAAACCAGAGCCAAAAGAGAGGATGGCCTTGCTGGAAGGAGAGGACTAACCCATTTCCTGTGAATTTCTTAGCTCACTGTATAGCTGTGTTCTCCAACCCAGATTCCCACCTCCAGCCGCCTTTCAGAGCAGCCATGGTGTC